CAGAAAACCCAGAGGCAAAAGAAGAAAGGACTGATCAAGAAAAAAGCTGTCTGTGCTAGAGGTCAAGAAGTTAGGGATAAATTAAGAATAATCAAAAATTAAGCAGGTTACACTGTTTTTTTTTGGGGGGGAGGGTTTTTTTGCAAATAGTGAAAGATTCTTCAGACATTCCAGGATTCTTAAAGAAATGGACTTAAAGTTCTGACAGGGGAACATATTATTGAAGGATGAGCCATCAGTGTGATCCAGTCATGAAGAAAACACGGGCACTAGCCATTTTCCTATTTCCCATGGAAGGTGAAAATATTAGCACCAGTTTCTAAATCCTTCGTGAGATCTCAGTACGTTGTATGCTTCTGGTCACTTGTTTTCAAGAAAAATGAAGCAGATGAGGACTGCTAGGAAGATCATGGAAATGGAGGCAAATGTCTTCAAGAGATTGCATTGTATAATTTTAGTGGGTTGACCCTGGCTGGCAGCTAAGCTGCCACCCAGTTGGTTGCTCACTCCCCGCCCCAGCCAGACAGCAGAGAGAACTGGAAGGGTAAAAGTGAGAAAAACTCAAAGATTGAGATAAAGACAGTTTAATAAGAAAAAAAGAAAAAAAAAAAAAATAAAGCAAAAGCAAACACTCACCACCTCCCACCAGCAGACCAATGCCCAGCCAGTCTCTGAGCAATGGCTAACTTTGAAAAACTCCCCTGTTCCTTTTAATGCTGAGTATGATGTTATATGGTATGATGTATCTCTCTGCTGAGTTTGGGTCAGCTGTCCTGGCCATGTTGTCTCTTGTGCACCCCCAGCCTACTTGGTGAGGGTGGTAGGGGAGAGCAGAGTGAGAAAAAGAGAAGGCCTTGCAAGCACTGTTCAGCAATACCTAAAACATTGGTGAGCTACCAGCTACTATAAGAAAATTAACTCCATCCCCTCCAGACCTAGTACAATAGTCTAGGAAAATGGAGGCTGAGAGAAGACTGCTGTCTACTTACTTGTCAAAGAGGGGTCCCAATGAAGGAAAGAGCTGTTTTAGACCGAAGAACAGTATTGAAAGCATATGCACACATAAACAAGAAGTGGTCAAAGGCTTGCAGGCTCAGGTTCTAAATTCTCTAACTAAAAATAAAAATACAGTTCAAAATAAGCAATAAAAAATAGTGGACCTTTGCAGATAAAACCAACTTGCACAGGAACTAAACTTTCTTAGTTATAAATATCACATCTTGAGGATTCACTGAGAAATTTATAAGCAGATCTTAATAAAGAAATTTAGATATATGGTATATAGGCAAAGACATGTAATTTTAGCTTTCAGTACTTTCCTTCACATGTGACTTAACTATTGTAAAGAGCTATGAATATTTTCTTTTGACTTTTTGATTATAGTTTTTGTGACAGCCAAACCAGCAAAATCAGCAACTGTTTCTGCCTTGTTAAAGAAGTTTTGTCATTTGCTTATACGTTTGCTTCTTTAAAGAGAAAACGGTACTACTGTGGCTTAGATTTTACTCGGTGGTAACCACTTTTGAGGTGCTTCATTTTAACTTCCTTATAAGAAAACAACATTCCTTTTCCAAACAGGTTATTGTATAGTATATCATAACTCTCAATTGCATTCTGGAATAACATGCATTCACTTACAAAGGCTTTAATACCTAGAGTTGCAGGTTATCAGGACACAAGCTACAGATAACAATATTTGTGTATCTAAATATAAGCTACTCCCTTGTCCAAAGTTCAAGTTTCCATAAAACAAGAGAAAGTATCAGAGATGTAATGAAAACACAGAGGAAATGGTTAATGATTAAACAGAGTAAGAAATTAAAAACTGACACTAGCCAAGGATAATTTTAAATTACAACCATGTGTGTTCAAGGCAGGAGAATAATTTGTCAAAGCATGTAAGTGAGCTAACATTCCTTGTGTTCTTGAATAATAGTTTGGATGAAATAATTAAGAAATTCAAGTAGAAAATGGCCCTGAATTGCTGCAAGGAATGTGTTAGCTGATCTACTGGACATTAAGAACCTCGTTATCTATAAACAAATGGAATACCCTTCAGAGTATGCATGTAGTATATTTTTTATATATTTTACAATCAGTACAAGTTCTCTATTACTTCTAAAAACTAAGCTTGTATTTTAAATTAGCAATGATTATTTCATTACAGTAAAATAGTTACCTACTGTATTTAAGAAAATCAAAGATCAAGACAACTTCATTAATCATTAAGAACAGTGTTCCATTGTCACCACAGTGAAAAATTATTTAAAAAAGGAAACAAATGGCAAACTAATGATAACCCTGGCCCATTATTCATTAGTAATGGTAATGTATTATTTTCCTCACCTTGAACGCTTTGTTCTACAGCATAAATTTGACAATGCATTTGGACTGGAACTCCCTCTCAAATCAGTTTTTTAAGGCCCCATAATACTAATTACGAAACACAAAGCTGCTTATGGACCCAACATAAGTCTTTCATATTTTCATTTATAGCCACCTCATCTCGTTGATAAAAAACTGGCTTGTAAAATAATCAAAATTTTTACCTACTGTAAAATGTTTCTAACACATTTTAAATAATTTTGTTAAAACATGTTTTAAAAAACTTAAACATGGGATTAAAACATGTTTTCTTCAGCTGCATCCAACAAATCAGATTTTAAATTTCTTTGCATGTGCTTTGAGTTTCCCCATAAGGTTACTTTTGACCTTCAATTAAATTAAAAAAAAAAACAAACCAAGCCAGCAAAAAAAGAGGATATTTTTCAAGGATTGGCAAATCATAAGAACAGTTAGTATGCAGATTATAAAAAAAACAACCAACCAACCAAACAAAAACAACACCATGACAAATTTCAGATAAAACACTATTACCTGTGGAAATGTTACAGCCTTTCTGTCATACTATAGCAAAATGATTTAGCTCTTTTGACCATAACCAAGCAGTTAATATTTCTTTCCCGTTACAGTCTTCTACGTTTGGAAAATATTTATTATATTTATATATACTTAATATTTTGGTTTTAATAGTCATGTATTTTCAGTTTCCATTTGTTGTGGAAACAGCAACAGCTTGAGCCTTGTTTTTAGACACACTTTGGGTAACAGTAACACAGCATGTTCCATACTGAAATAGTTCAGAAGATGGATGAGATATTACTTCATCTGGCCTTACTTTAATTTAGATTATCTATTTATCATTCATTTACATAATTCTTATTTAACAGGTTTTGGACACACACAGGTAATAAAAGGGTCTAGCACTGCTTTCCATTATTGAGTGTGGTATTTATGTAGTGATTAGGTGTCCTGGTTTCACCTGGGATAGAGTTAATTTTCTTCCTAGTAGCTGGTATAGTGCTGTGTTTTGGATTTAGGATGAGAACGATGTTGATAACACGCTGATGGTTTAGTTGTGGCTAAGCAGTGCTTACACCAGTCCAGGACTTTTCAGCTTTCCCTGCCCTGCCCGGTGCACAAGAAGCTGGGAGGGGGCACAGCCAGGACAGCTGACCCAGACTGGCCAAAGGGCTCTGCCATCCCGTATGGTGTCATGCCCAGTATATGAACTGGGGGAGCTGGCCGGGGAGCAGCAATTGCTGCTCAAGGATGGGCTGGGCATCGGTTGGTGGGTGGTGAGCAATTGCATTGTGTATCACTTGTTTTGTATATTCTTTTATTGTTGTTGTTGTTATTATTACTATTTCCATTTCCTCTGCTGTCCTATTAAACCGTCTTTATCTCAACCCACAGGTTTTACTTTTTTTTCCGATTCTCTCCCCCATCCCACCGGGGGAGGGAGGGGAGGGTGAGTGAGTGGCTGTGTGGTGCTTAGTTGCCAGCTGGGGTTAAACCACATTAGGTTACTGTGCTATTTCGGCTACATCTTTGGATTTTGGAAACAAAATAATTGCAATGTATTTTAAACATGTTCTATTTAAAAGAATAACAAATATTTGTTACAAATACTCTTCAGAAGTGCCCTGTGACACACATAAGTATTACTCTCCTGGCTTTGCCAGTAGATGCTTTAATAACAGTTAGGTGGCGTTCAGCAAGTTAGCTGCAAACCTGACATGTATGGATCGACCTCCCATTTTCATAGTTTTACCACTGCACAGTGCTAGCTCTTGTTTTATTATGTTCTCTGGCCCATTCTTAAATATTCATTTACAAGTTAGTGCATAAATAAACTACTGCTAAAGAAACATCGTTTGAATCAGTGTAAAAGTGTTGCACATACGATAAGAGACAAAACCTTGGATCAAAAGCACTGTTGCAGATAATTAACCTAGCTCCGTGAAGGAACTGTATCAGCTTAAATCAAAGGACTTGTGACTTTGGAACAAAGGTTCCCAGGTTGCGCACAATGAAATGTTTGCTGATGGTCAATGCACAGCCCTCACCTCCTCCTTATTTACAGTTGCCAGACTCCACTGACAGCGTTCTTAAATGCATTACTTCCCACTCTTAGATGTACATACACTATGTAAAGAAGTATAAATATATACTGTATCTAAATACTATATTTAAGATCTATACACATAACTATAGCATTTGATGTATTCGATGCAGAGTTTCAAATATATGCAACCACAATATTGTAGGCAATGTTATAGTTGTAGGTAATTCATAGAATTTGGGTGGCAAAAGGTAGCCAGCGGAAAGATCTCCAGGATGGAAACCAAAACAAAAGTTCTTTAATAATGTCCCTGCATTGAATTGCAGTCTGCAGTATGAACAGGTAAATAAATAGGGAGCCCAGAATGAGTTCAGATCTTTGCAGTGTGTCTTCAGCATCTGATTTTCTACCAACTGTTTTGTAAAGTGATTATATATTTCTGCAAGCTACAAATCAGTTGGTCTTTCAATCTACACACAACGGGTAGTCTTGTCTTGATTGGATGTCTTGTCAAATTGGTTTATTAAGTCAGTACTAAAGCAAAATTCTGTGAAATGAGATTGTGACAAGCTATCATCTTGGTTGTGTCTTTCAGAAAATACACCTGAAAAGTATTTGTCTGCAATATCAGCTGTATCTTCTTCTGAACAGCTATTTCTTTTGCCTTTTAAAGAATGAGATGGGACTAATCATCTTCTTCCTATGGTAACTACAAAGTCAATGTTAATTAGATAGTAAATACAAATTATTTATTTTTACTGTTACAGCTGTTACTTGCCTCCAGTCGCTTTAGAGTGGATCTTCTCCTGCCGTGATATGCAGTGCCCCATTGCTTCACAGGCCACAGTCCCTCACTTTATTCTGTCTTTGACTAGGCTCAGTCTGGTCAAGAATGCATCTTGGCCCTAATCTCTGTGACCACCCTCAAGCTGTTGGAATTGTTGCATTTACCTCCATCAATTGCCATATGTCTTTGCAATGAAAAAACCACTACATGTGAACATTTTAAAATACGTATGCTAAATTATGTATATGAGATGCCTCCTTCCATTCTCACTCCAGTTTCCTGTCTTAGAAAACTTGCCCTGCTTCTAGGGCCTACATGCCCCACTTGTTTTCTCCTTCTGCCCCTTCAGTCAAATCTCTTTGCTAAGGTCTGATATTTCTTCTCTCTTTCTCTCCCTGGTAAAAAGATGGTAAGTGTCCTCTGATTCTTGTTATAAACCCCCTTTTTTTCCTTTCCCCAAATCTTGTAATTTTTGAGCCTTTGGTTAAGGCTTAAGTGTTTAACAACTGCTTGTTTTAAACCAGCTTCTCAGAACAA